TCTCACTCAGCTAGACAGAGGGGCCCATTAATGGTGCTCACTGTTACCTGAAGCATCTGTCAAAACTTCTAGTCTAAAATATTTAAAGGGAAAAAAATGCAGGTCTGATTGCATTGAAAAAAAATCTTTCATCTCTCCTACTTTCATTTCGCTCTTAGCTTATTTAGATTTTTCAGTGTTTTAGACACAGAACATTTACAAAAATCAGAAAGAACATCTGAGGTTGAACAAAATGCTTGCCTTTTAAAAAAATATCTTTCATTACCTGCAGCATTTCAAACATTTTAGGTTTCACTATAATAATTCTACTTCTGCTTTCAGCATCCTGACCCAACTGTGTTCTTACAACTCATCCTGCAAGCGCTCAACACATCAGCAAGTCAGGTTGCAGGTACCTCAGCTTGTTCACCCACAAAATATAGACACATGTATGTCATGATACGATATATGTCAAATCATCATTTACAGGGCTTGCCCAGCATTACTACAGAAGCTCTTGCCTGAAGTTGAGGCAGAAATAAACCCCTCCTTTAAGGGCTATTAGAGTACTCACTTGCCTTATGTATTGCACTCCCCAACACAGAGGAGAAATGAAAGCAGAGATCTCATCCTGAGCTTCCTCCCTCCCTCCCATGCTGCTGTAACTGAGGACGGCCCTGCAGCAGGGTAGCTTTACTCAGAGAAAAAGCATCTAATGTTGTAATTGAAGATGCAAATGCCTTCAGGCATTTGGTGGGGACTGAATTAAAGTTTGCAAGGCAAACTTCCAAGATTTTTCTAAATATTGCCTACTCAAATTCCCAAATGTTTTAATACCGTTTATGCCATAGAATTTGTAAAATTACATGTCATAAGTGAGGTTCTTCCTCTGTGGCTTTGGCAACAAAGCACTTTGCAGGGGGGAGCCAAAGGTATTTGCTGCCAGTATGAGAAGGCTGGAGTCAAGGAAGACTTAAATTGTTTGCTAGAGCCATGCAGTGAGACGAGGAGACCTTCACATAGGAGGGGGGAAGAGACAGACACATCATGTGTTGGCATCAAAGATAGATTGACCAAAGAATAAAGCTTTTCCCTACCTCACCTCTGTTGTGCAGTGGGAACAAAGAGGTATCACAGAATGGCTAGGTTGGAAAAGACCTCTGAGGTCATCATGTCCAACCGTTCCTGACTACCCACTAAACCATATCCTTAAGTATCTCATCTACCCGCTCTTTAAATACATCCAGGGATGGTGACTCCACCACCTCCCTGGGCAGCCTGTTCCAGCTTCTGACGACCCTCTCAGTAAAGAACTTCCTCCTTATCTCTAACCTGAATCTCCCTTGGCACAGCTTGGTGCCATTTCCCCTTGTTCTATCCTCCATCACCTGGGAGAAGAGACCAGCACCCACCTCTCCACAACCTCCCTTTAGGTAGTTGTAGGTGGTGATGAGGTCTCCCCTCAGCCTTCTCTTCTCCAGGCTAAACAATCCCAGTTCCCTTAGCCGCTCCTCCATAAGGCTTGTTCTCCAGACCCCTCACCATTCTTGTGGCTCTTCTCTGAACACGCTCCAGAATCTCAACATCCTTCTTATAGTGAGGGGCCCAGAACTGAACACAGTACTCGAGGTGTGGCCTCACCAGTGCCGAGTACAGGGGGATAATCACCTCCCTGGACCTGCTGGAGGTATATGGACAAGGTTTAGGGAGCAAGTTACCGGACAGAAGATTGGGCAGTCACTGAAAGCAGCCTTTGGGACATGAGCTCCATCTCCTGCTTTAGTGACACAAAAGACCTAGTCTCCAACAGGAACATTTGGGCTCATGCTTTTGTGCGCAGTACCAGTGCTTCAGCTGATGGCACACAGGAAGGAGAAACCATACAGGGAGGAGAACTGGTAATTAATGTCAAATCCTGAAGGAACATAATGGGATAGAGAGGTGCTCAGGAAGCAAAGCAGGGCATAATGTTTTCATGCTGGATTTTCAAGACTGCAAGAATTTTATTACTGGAACATCACTGCACTGTATGTGACCGCAACAATTACAGGGAAATGAAAGCAAAATAGCAGCAATATTGCTGTTTTGGGCATTAAAACATGGGAGGATTTGTAACAAATTCAGATAAAACCCAGATTTCCTGGCTTGAACATTACCTTCTATGTCTGTACACTCATACACCTGTGACCTGAACTGTAGAGACACCAACATGTTACAAGCCAAAAGTTAAGGAGCCTCCTTAATGAGCACCATGATTCCAGGACTTACAAATTAGGTCAGGCACATCACCTTTGAGTCAGAGCCATTGAGGAAAGAGAGAACATTGAATATATTCTGCAGCATGATAAAGCAGATTAGACTTGAGAAGAGACTGTGTCCTTAGTTTGGAAGACATTTATCAGCAAAGACAGCTTGGTGCTACCTGGAAAAATAATGGGTAGCAAAAGGCTCAGACGATTTGTAAACTAGAGTAAGAAAACTTATCCAGTCTAATAGTTTATTCTAACTGCTTTCATTATTTGCATTTAGCCAAATACTTTAAGGAAACAAGCCATATGCAATCACATTTCAGACATGCAGGCAAGAATGCACTTCTCCCCCTAAAGCTTTTGAAACCATCTGCCACATCTGATAAGGGAGTTTTAAGTTTACAACACTCTTACAAGCACTACAAAAATCAGCAGCTGTTAGAAACAAAGAAAACCTTACTGCAGGCTCTTAGTAGATACTGGAGAGCACAGAATTAAAAAAACCCAAATAAACGAAAAAATTTAATAATGTTCAAATATGAAAAAAATCTTCAGCCAATGCTCACATCTTATGAGATATTAGGGCATGATTATTTCTGACACTTCAAGAATGATTTAAGGAGGGAATATGAGCTACTTCATACACCACATTATGGAAAAAGATAGCAGGAATTTTAAATTAAAATATCCTCTCTCACTGCCCTATAGTACTTACCATGTACTGGAGAAGGTTGACATTTTAGATTTATACAGCACAATCTGGCTGATTCCGATGAGAGCAAGCCTTACTGACTATGAAGTGCACACATGCCATGGCCTATATAGTTTCATGAAAGAGAGAACTGCTCCTGCAACAAAGCTTGACTCATCGGCAATGGGGATATTTCTTGTTATGCACTTTATTATGAAGCAAACACATTCAGTACGCAAGTGAGAAAATGGTGCAGCCAACGTGCAACTCCTTTGGAGCAACAGAATTCTCAGCTCAGATCTCGCATACACACCGGCTTTTATTAAAATGCTACACACAAATGGGAAAAAACCCAACCCTAAACCAAACCAAAAAACAACAAACCAAAACCAGAAGGAACCATACCTTGCATCTCATGCTTCAGTTTGTTCAAAATACAGTACCACTTAAAGCAAAAGTTGCTTGCTTATCTGTAATTATATTAACATAAACTTAAACAAACGCCTTAACTGATAGACAATTTGATGTCCACATCAAGAATATTCTACTACTGTTGAAACTGCGATACAGGGTGCAGTTAAAAATTTCCAAAACCAGAAGCTGCAGTGGGGCTGCTGAAGCCAGGGGTTACTTGCTTCAGTGGATGCTGACTAAGCCAAACACTTTCAAACCTGAAGGGACAGCAATTCTGCTACAGGAATATGCAATATGCTGGTCAAAAATGTCCAGTCCATCCAGCGTAAGACAAAGTTAAACTTATCAGAGAACTCTGAAGCTGTTATCCCTCTGTCCCAAAATAAGCTACATGTGATTTAAGTATCTCTGTGCAGTGACACCACCAGCAAAACACCTGGTAGCAACAGAAATACTATCTTTAACGCATTTTCTTAAACAAAATGCTAAATAAAAGAGAGGATATATACAAGTCAGAACTACATGTCAACCCTAGTAAAAACTGTAAATACACTGCTGAAATTGTTACCAACTTTCAGTGAATTTTTGGAGACACTTTAGAACTTGAACTTTTACCTTCCTCTACAGATCACATACTCCTAGAGTTCTTCTACTATTCCTG